TATTTCCAAAAGAAAGAGGAACATAGGGTGACTTACAAGAGTGGAGGCAGGTCCACACAGATAGATTATATTCTATGTAGAAGATGTAATCTGAGGGAGATTAGAGACTGTAAGGTGGTGGCAGGTGAGAGTGTAGCCAAACAACATTGTATGGTAGTGTGTAAGATGATGATGGAGGTAAAAAAAAGGAAGAGAGTGAAGACAGAGCAGAAGATCAAGTGGTGGAAATTAAGGAAAGAGAAATGTGAAGATTTTCAGGAAGGAAGGGCAGTTCTGTGCTGAGAAATTTCTAGATGATTGGGAGACTACAGCTACAAACCTTATAATGCCTTATAATGCCGTGCGCCTTATGGTCTGAGAAACACGGTATGTGTGTATGTATATATATATATATACATATACATATATACATATATATATACATATACATATATATATATAAAACATATATATGTATATATACAGTATATATGAGAGAGAGAGGGAGATACACACGTACTGTATATACTGTATACACCCGTATCGGCAGGCTAGAAATTAGCAGATTAACTGGAACTGATCCAGCAGTAGAGGAGAGAGCATGTTACGATCCCCCTAGATTTTGTTGTTTACCAACACCCAGAATGGATGTATTCAGCGATGATGAATATGATCAGGATTTGCTGAAGTTGTTAAGTTAAATATTTAACGTACGTAAAATTGAATAGTCTTTAAAATAATGAATCTTCTTTTGCTCCAGTGTGACATAAATCCTTTCAAAACGAATGGTGTCATTGTCTAAAAAAGGAGGGCTGAGATAAAAGTAAAAATGCTGAGATTTTGAAAAAGATAAAACAGGACAGGATTAGAAATTAGTATCACAGTTTGGAGTATAAACTGGATATGTAAGACTCATATGGTTTAGACATGTGCTAAGGAAGGGGCAAAATGCAATTCAAATGGCGCTACCAGGCAGGAGAAAAAAAGAAGGACAGGAGAAGAGATTACATTTGTATTAAATAGTATACTTGTGGCACTAGGTGAAAGGAAAGGAAAAGGAAAGAAAATTAACTTCTACCCATCAACAAAGTAAGCAGGGGGCAGCTTTAGCACGGGGCAGTGTGTGGGTCCAGTGCCATGCTCAGTCCACCTCAGTGGTAACTTGGCAGCTGCTGAACTCAAAACTTGAACCCTTCCAGACCCAAGTCCGCGTCCTTAGCCACCAAGCCACTACTGCCCCCAAGACAAGGTCTAGAGCAAGATGGAGGGGGATGGTACTGTATGTTGTTGCTTGTTTGAATGAGCATTGTATGCAGCTACGTTATTAAATTAATTGGGAATATGAAATTAAATACTTTTTTACCACGTGTCTTAGTGTACTGCTGGGGTGCAGTCCAACCATATAACCCGTCTCCCGGTTCCTCTTCTCTTATCTCTATGTCGTATTTGGACATAGAGTCTCTGTGGTAGACATCATCATCGCCATCCTTGTTAATTCCAAATGCCTACAAATCACAAGTCGAGTGAAACACTTTGTATAAATACACTTCTCATTTGGATGAAAATGAAAAAACAAAGATAAATCATATCTTGTCCAAAACACCACCTACCCTTGAGTTTTTTTGTGCAACTCCACCCCTTTTCACTGACACAGGCTTAAACAGGTCAAAGTGTTCAGTATTTCCTTGGCCCAGCAGGGCCAGACCAGGGTCCAGACCACAGTATCCCAGACCTTGAACCCCTATTTTTGGGTCAAAATCTACTGGGGTGACATCTTGTGGAGCAAAGGTCACATTCGGCAGTGAAAGAAGCTCGTCCTCATCTTCCTGTCAAGGGCCAATACAAAGCAGTAAAGCAAAACGCGGTCAATTTCAATAACCAAATTCGTAAAGGAAAAAGAACAAATTAGCACAAAAATAATTTAAACTTAAATTTGAAAAGTACTTAATAACATAATAATAATATTCAAAAACCCTACACATGGCTGAAATGACCTTTTGGTCAGAAGGCTACAGTTGAGCTGGATTGTTTTCAGGCAGATTGGGAATATATTGGGAATAGAACAATGGCAAAAAATTACTAATGCCTTTACTGCCAATTATTATAAAGGATGGAGATCACGAGAGATCATTATCATCAGAGATATACATGTTACTATTTACGATTGATATGTGCTTTTTTATGTTCCTTAGTAAATTCTGAGTAAATTCTTGCATCTTAGGGAGTGACTTTACGTGTGCGACAAGTCACATTTTCAGCATGAGGATAACTTAAGTATGTGGGAATCGAAACCCTGGACTCTGCTTGAAAGGCAGGCGTGCTCATCACTACAATATGGAACCAACATGTGGCGATATACACTGTTTTGTCTTGTAAAACTACTCCTTTTCTGCTCTGTGAAAAATAGGTTCAATGTTCATAATACAGCAAAAATAATTTTATAGTTACACGTATAAACAATGTAGATGGCAAGGCAGATGTAGATCGATGTAGATGGCAAGGTTTGCCATCACATTTTAACAATTAAATATTCCAGGTCAAAAAAAGACTTTCCTTATTTTATATTTTGTGAAAAGAACTATGTTTATTGAAGTCGAGAAAGAGGGTCTTTCTTTCTTCTTTTTTTTTTAATTACTTTTTTTAGATACTTTTTCAAGTTCAACATTAAATGTCAGGAGATACATTGTTACACTGTTTAAATGCACTTCCAATGAAGTGAGCATTAGCAAAACCCGTTGTCATTTTTATGTTGAGATGGCGGGGTGGTTTGTTGGCAGCTCGGAATGGAACTAATAAAGCAAACCAAGTAATCAATAAGTACTTAATTTACTTTTTTAAAAGGAGAAATTAGCAATCAGTAATGAGATTACTTTTTCAAGGTAACAGTGGCAACACCGTTTATAGAGCACTTAACACCAGACTCAAAGGCACTGTAAAGAGTTCAAAGCAGTTACTGTGCGCTTCTTTAATTTACCAAAATACAAACATGAAGGTCTATGTGTTGTTTTATTTCAGATTGTACATATACATCTCCTGAAGGTTTAAATAAAGAAAAATGCAGCCCTAGAGCTTACCAACCTCTGATTCCTCTGACCCATTAGCAGGCACTGCACAGCCATAAACTTTGACTCCACGGTCTGTTGAGAGAGTTTTTCATTGTGATTAATTGCAAGCAGTTTCACATTTGTTTTGATAAATCAATGACTACTAACCTCCACGAAGCCGACGAGCTCTTCTCTTTACACGTGGCCCAACGCCCTGACCCTCTTTCCATCCCATCTTTTTTAGCAGTTTAATCCCAATCGATGACCTAGAAGAATAAATATAGAATAAATAAACATCAGGTTCTACAGAAATATTAGACATACACGTACATAACATTAAAACAAAAAGACATTCCTTTCACTTATCAGCATTTAAACAAACAAACAAACAAAAAAAAAACATGCTATTCTCTTTGTAGCAACTTACATTTAATTTAGTTTTTTGTTCAAAGCAAACAAATAAATACAAACCTTTCATTTTCATGGAGAAATTGGTTGAGTAGTAGACTCCACAATTTCCAATTAGAATTTGTGGTTATTCCATGTAATTGTAGCCCAACCACAAAAATATAAAATGGAACAAAAAGCAGACGACGACAGTAAACAATAAATTTAAAGCCAATTAGATTTACTACTTCCCAGTCTTTAAGAAACTACAGTTGAAATAGGGAGCCAATAGGAAGTATGAGCCAGCAGACCTTGCCCTAAACTCCTCACTCCTATCATGTGCAATACATATGGGATCTATTTTAAGGTTTAAGGCTGTGATTTTTGTACCCTAATAAGGGCCTTATCTCGGGCAACAAACAATCTAACCCACTGCAAAGATGGCCCTTATAGAAGGAATTCTTGTGTTTCCTCTTGGGGGGGGGATTCTATGCTTTTCCTCATACAAAAATGATGCTGTTAACAACTTGACGTACGGTTCATAGGACCGTGCTTCGGCCAGCACTGTTAACAACTTGACGTACTTTAGCGGTTCATAGGACCGTGCTTCGGCCAGCTAATAGAAAGTTAATCTGATACCAATCAATTCATTGTTCTGCCTGTGAAAGTAAATGGCTTATAATGACTTACACCTGTACTACTACTAATTGTCCACAACTCTGCCCATCTGTATTTCCAGAGTAGACTGTCTAAGGTAGAGGTTCCCAAAGTGGGGGGGGCGGACAGTGCCATTGCCAGGGGGAGGCCAATGAAATGTAACACTGCAAGTTGTCCAATGCTGTAAATGTTAACCATTGGGGGAGGCCAATGAAATGTAACACAGCAAGTTGTCCAATGCTGTAAATGTTAAACAAGAGACTGACAAAAAACACAGATTGGTTAAAGGCAGTGTAATGAAAATGTTAATAATATTGCAAAGGAGGCTGGTATTTTATATTTTTCTCTTGTTTTTAACTGTTGCCCGTTTGATCTGCTCAGAGCAGCAGCAGCCACACGCAGTGCGCCACCGGCACCTCCTAACACACAAAATCTCACTCAGACCAACTGACCAAAGTTGGCAATGCTAGTATAAAATGGAAAACACCCTTTAGGTGTTAGTTGTTTATTAATACATTTCTAGATCTTTGATCTAGTTGTTTTATCCTAACCATTAGATGTGACATACAGTACTGAGCAGGATAAGGTGGTTGTATACATTTACTAGATTCACCTTCTTTTTTTTTTACCCTTTTTAAGTATTAAGCAAATGTAGAGGACAGGAAACTTGTTCACCACTTAATGTATTCTCATAAGGTCACATTAAGGCAGTGGTTCTTAATTATTTTCTGTCATGCGCCCCCTTGGGAACAGAAATGTTTTCATGCCCCCCCCCCACCCGCACCTCCACCCCTACAAATTGAAATACTATTGAGAACCTAAAAACATGTATTTTTTTTTCTGTACAAACCACTGTATGAGTTGCTGCCACCTAGTGACTGGAGGTTTATTATTATTTAAGCCCACCCCCCACTATTGGAGAAATACTGCATTAAGGGAATAGAACTAGTGAATACAACTGACAATGTGATACAAACAAAGTCCTAAGTTGTTACAATTTCACATATTTTAATGGTGAAAACTTGAATGTCAATTATATTCTGCTATTCCTTTGCTTTGTCATTATTGTAATTCACGGAACAAAATTCAAGCGTCCCAGGGAATCTTTATAGTAAATGGAAAACCTTGATTTATGATGTGGACTTTAAATTCCTATATTTACTTTTAATGCCACACACAAAGAAAAACATTCAAAGTTAAGTAATGCACACACCTTTACCAGACAAAAACACAGGGCAGGGCCAGGAACCAAACAATTTGCTGACTTGGCCACAGCAAAGCTACTGCGCCTTAAAGATTTTACATTCAAAATACTGAAAATGTTCTTGTGATATCTGGCAAATCTGAAATGAATTTTACTGTAATTTGTTATTAAATTTGTACTTGTAAGTTTCAACGTGAAATGAATTTTACTGTGTATTTGTTATTAAATTTGTACTTGTAAGTTTAAAACAAACATTACCTGCAAGGCCTGATTAACTCCTGTAATAAAATATCTCCAAGTGTCAGTGTTGTTTGAGCTCGAATGGCTTTTGCCCTTTCACCAACTTTGTCAGTGTGAGAGGACGGAAACTCCTGACTGGTGGTAATTTGCTGTGGTGCAATGCCATGCTCCCCAAAGTCCTGAAGCACAAGATCGACATTAACAATCACCATAAACAAATTAATATTAAATTAAATAAACACAATGAAAACAATGAAATGACAGGAATTGTGATTAACTCTGGTCAATCTGTTTTGAAAGCCAGTAAGCAACAGACTTTCAAAACATGGTAATTAAAAAAAAAAAACTAAAAAACTGTCCAGTCATGTTTCTTGCATATGTTTTAATTCGCTTTAAGGCCGAGAATGACCGCTCAACAGAAGCAGTGGACACAAGGATTGTGACAGCCAAGTGCTGTTTTTAGTCTGGGCAGGTCAAACTGTGCGCCGTGACTTTGTGTTAAGCTGGAAAAGGCTGTTTGCGGGAAGTTTCTCCGGTACGTCTGAAAGTGCTGGGGGTCGAGAAGGGAGAGAAACAATAATTTTTCGTGGTTTTGAAATCGATTCCGTATCTGGCAAAGAATACGACGCAGATCAACCGATTAGGCTAATCGGTTGATCTGCGCTGAACTTACAATTGAAGTGAGAAGGCTGTCTTCTTGTTTTTACTGCGGTAAGCCAATCACAGGACGCATACATGTCACGTTCAACGTGAGGCCAGCTAGAAGGCCTTCTGTCAACAATTCGTGATCTGATTGACTATCGCAACTGTCTATCAACTGTATGTGCCCGTTTGCTTTGGTTCGCTTAGATTGCACAGACGCCTGCATTCTTGATCTCTGAAGGCCTCAGGCAAATTACATATAGCCTGGCAACAGCTAAATTCTAAAAATAACAACACTGGAAGGAGCTTAATATGAGATGAATATGAAGTATGTTTTTATGTATTTAGGAAAAGTAAATTAAAAATTAAATGAACTTTTATCAACATATGATCATGATTTATGTTAGGCCAGCAGAGAAGGCCTTGCTAGCCCTGACGGCTCACCACTTTCGTATATTTTCCGGTGCAAAACAAATGCGAAGAAAATAATAAAAAAAAAATTTTTTTTATCTCAAAACAGGTGCTGTCTTCAAAACTCTTAATATATTATCATAAAAATGATCATAAAATGATTATTATGCCATTTTTTACTGCTGTCATGTTGCTTTCATTCTGTCTTGTGATGTAAATGCAGCAGCGTACGCTACAGTGGTGTTCAGCGAAAATAAACATTGTTACACTCTGCACTTACAAGGTTCCCCTTGAAACCATATAGTTACACAGATGTACTATACTGTACCCCCTGTAATCGAATGGTTCAGGACAAATATATGTACCTTTACAGCCCTAATATATTTCAGCGGGTCCTCAGTTTACTTGACCTACGTAGTTTTGTGGTTACGTGCATTACTATGATCGGATTACTTCCGTTAAGTTATGAGTAAAGTAAGGAATTACAATTGCAAAATTCGCAGAAAATAGGTTTAACGGTTACACAATGTTCTTCAAGTCAGGGACTGTTGAATTTAATTTAATTGTTGATATAATGCAGAGTTGACAGATTTAAATTAATTAAACAAGTTTCAGTTGTAGAAAATGAATAGCCCACGTTTGATGTGGTCTTCATTGCTGTTCACTGCATGCAACTCCATGTAAAAGCTATAGATTCCCATCCAACAAGTTCCATATTCCTTCCTTCTCAACTCACACATTTTAGTTACATTATCGCTAGGAACCAAACACTGACTTAAGGCCAGGACCCCCTACATGTATATGTATATATATAAATGCTAAATGCAACTGCTTAAATAACTTGTGCTTGTCACCATCACCTTTGTGTTCACTTAGTAAATATGTGGGGGGGGGGGGGTATTTTTCTCACCTCTTCGTCCATAAAATCTTCTGGTTTTGCACGACAGATTTCAGCTTTCTGCCCCCTCGAGGATACAAAAGTTGAGGGGGTCCACCCTGGCATTTATAAAGAAAAATACTCAATACATATATGCAGAACATGTTCCAGGGCATTCTGTTAGTACTCAATGTTTTAAGTGGATGTTTATTTTAGTAATAACAGTAATATCATTGCCTCCTAGAGATGTACCGATTGCAAATTCTTGGCTCGTTCAAATGTCCTTTAATTAACAATATATACAGTGCTTAGCACAAGTATTCACCCGCTTGAATGTTTTACACTTTTATTGCTTTAATACATCAATCACGGTCAATAAAATTTGGCTTTTTTCAAACTAAAATTTATTAGAAACTCTTTAATGTCAAACATAGTTCTATAAAGTAATGTTAATGTAACAAAATTATATAAAGAAAAATAATTGTTTGCATAATTATTCACCCCTTCAAGTCAGTATTTAGTAGATGCACATTTGGCTGCAATAACAGCACTGCATGTATTGATAAGTCTCTGTTAGTCTTGTACATCTGCACACTGCAATTTAGTATGTATTGATAAGTCTCTGTTAGTTCTTTCTTGGAAAACTTTTTGGAAAACTGCTAAAGTTCTGTCAGGTTGCGTCCATTCTTTTTTGGAAAAACTGCTAAAGTTCTGTCAGGTTGCGCAGGTATGTAATGTTGTTTTGGTATCCATTACCTAAACTGTACTTTTCAGTCACCCTTTATCTGAGTTGCTTGGAGTGTTCTTCTGTCTTCATGGTGTAATGGTAGCCATGAATACTGATCAACCAGTCTCTGTGTTTTATACCACAATCACTTGAGACACACTCCCAAACCACTCAGGTCATCTTCTTTTCAATAACTGTGAGACTATTGGCACCAATTGGATGGACCTCTATTGAATCAGACCATTCAATTTAAAAGGGGGTGAATAAATATGCAAACAATTGTTTTTCTTTGTATAATTTTGTTTCGTTAACATTACTTTATAGAACTCTGTTTTCATTTTGACATTAAATAATTTTTCACAGTAAATTTTTGTGTGAAAAAAAATCCAGATTTTATTGCCCATGATTGATTTATTAGAGCAATAAAAGTGTAAATCATCCAAGGGGGTGAATACTTATCCTAAGCACTGTACATAAAGAGTTCTTCAGCCCCAAGCACTGTACATAAAGAGTTCTTCAGCATAAATTCTATTCTAATAAGTAATTATAAAACATTTCTCACAAAATGCACTCAGTCAAAGGTTCTCTCTTCAGTTCAATAATTTTCAAAATAAAGTTATTGGTGACCAATATGAGGTATTAAATGAAAATGAGACACTGTGCAACTTTCTGTTAAAAGGTTTTACAAAAAAACAAATATATATGAACAAAAATATCTTAATTTAAACATTTTATTGATTTGAAGGAATATGTATGATGAAGTTCTTAACCAAAACTGTCCAAAAATTACAAAATGTTTTCATTGAAAAAAACGTACACAAAAATCCAGAAACTGGTATATGCACAAAAAATTCAGATGTATCAAATTCAGATCAATCAACGTGGAATTCAGCTCAGAAATTATGGTAAATATGGAGAGAGGCACCTCATGTTGTAGCCAGGTAGATAAACAGCATCTAACATTCTAAGATTCTAAGAGTATTTTTTATTTGAATTGATGATTAAAAATAACTAGTTGGAGATTGGATGAATAACTCGTCCTTTTTTGCATCAATCATTTTATTAATAATAATTAAATTAAGTAATAAATGAATAATAATAATTTAAAGCAACTTTTACTCAAAGGAAATTTTAAATGAAGTAATTTTTTACTTTTACTCGTAGTAGATTTTTAGGTACTTTTACTTTATCTTGGGTAGAATTTTATTATCTGCATATGAATTGCACATTGATAATCTGTCACATTAACAAAAACAAATTCCGTCTAACACAGCATGGCTTGGCCTCAACCCCTGGCTCCTCGCTGTGTTGTGCTCTAGAGCCAGCCGCATCTCTGCACACAGGAGTTGTCTTAAGACCCGCACCTTTTTACGCTCATTTCACATTTGATACATCTGAACGCGAGTGTGGAAACAACATACGCAACGTTTTTGTGTGTATGTAACTTCTTTGTGCATAAGCAACATTTGTACATGAGGCCCTCGGTCTTTTGACTATACTGATCACTACTACTTAACCATTATCTGCTTGACTATCAACAAAATTGCTGTTTTCATTTTTTTTTTCAATATTGTATTTTTTGTATATTGTAATATTTTATTAGATTCGGTCAATTTGTGCAAATATGGTAAAAGCAAATTTGTGTAGACTGACTGGTCTTTGTTGCTTCCTTTAAAGCAAAGCCTTTCATCTACCTGTACAGTATGAATCGGGATTACCAGCAGAGCTAATGAATTGGCTTTTAGAGCAAGTGTGTTTCTAAATGACAAGTCACTAATGTGAGAATGTTGCATTTATCAGTTAATTTATTAGCTTTATTACATTATCCAACACAAAAAAAAAATTACATTTTTGGCCCATAAATGTTTTGTCCAGTATTGTAGTGCAGCCCCCCTCCTTGGTGTTGACCTTACCTTCTTTAGTACCAACAGTGTTATAGTAACCAGCTGAAAATCCACCAGTGAATGCACCATGGAACCTTTGATATCTTCCCTTCTCGTCTTTCACCGTTTGCTCATGAAGTGGGACAGGCTTTTTCAGCGGCTCATCTGCACCAAACATTCAAATTATATACAATTAATGTAGTCTTACATGACATATAACCAATGTTTTTATGACTTACATTTTCTTTAAAGTAACAGTTATTTTTCTACTGATTTTAACCATACTAGTCAGACACAAAAAACAACAAATGTTCTTTAAATCAGCGGTCTCCAACATCTTTGAGCACCAGTTAAATGCCTGCCAATTTTTTCACAGACCAGCTTTTAAGGGTTAGCGAATAAATACAACTACAGTGTTCCCCTTTTTATATTGAGGTTCTCCTACCGCTCCTTCAGTACATTGCAGATTTTTTTATTCCAATCTCAGTTTTGCTATATTGCGGTATTTTATGGTAAATCTTTTTTTTTCAATTTCCACTGTTTTCGTGATAAAACACATTTTCTAACCTGAAAAAATTAAACAGTAAAAAATAATATAGCAAAACATAAAGAAAAAGACATCGCAGGTAGCTTTGTTTACAGTAAAACATAAAGCAAAAGACATCGCAGGTAGCTTTGTTTACCCTGAGGAAATCGAACACGGCATTGAGCATGCTCTTCTGTTCTTCACACTGATTGGCTCATGCAGCCACTCGTTCACTTTGCTTTGCTCCGTGTGTTGCTGTAAAGTTTGTGCTCTTGGCCATCTCTCAGCATCCCCCCTTGGCTGTCCGCCACTCGTTCACTTTGCTTTGCTCCGTTATACAGTGTGTTGCTGTAAAGTTTGTGCTCTTGTATTTGGTGAAAGTTTACCCTAATTTAACACCCTACGGTGCCTCCTAAACACTCACGCATTTTCTCAGGCTTCTTTTACTAAGCCCAAACGAAAACACTGACAGAGACGACAGTAAATAGCCTTTATTGTTCTTTACAATAATGCGCGTTACTGCACTGTGCACGGCTTTCATATACAGTCCGTCCGTCTTGGCCAGTATACACACCTCCGTTCACTCTCATCTCTCCTTGATCCCAGCTCCTACTTATATATGGAGAGGTTTGATTACCCGAATGGCGCTCACCTGCGTCCGGGGCTGAACCTGCATCGCCACTCCTGTACTCTCCCTGCTGCAGCTAAGTTCTAACCTCAGCTACGCCCCAACAATGTGCATGTTCATCAAATTTTAATTAAATTTTTACATTGTTTTTCATGGTTGTGTCTTTACTTCATACTGTGTACGTCTTATATTTCTATTAAATAATTCTACTGTGCATATAATTATGTGGGAAAGTGGAATACAGTCTAGGGAGGGTTGATAACAGTGTGGGGGAGGTTAATATATAAAGGGTAATATATATGTAATTATAATAACTATCCTGCCTCTACTTTTCCCTTTTCACAATGGGTATTTGTACCCAACTACCGCAATAGGAGAGGGATCACTGTAAATAAAATGATATGACCGGCATAAAAACTGGTATTTTCATGGTCTCCAAGTTGAGAGGCCGTTTTGAAGGCTTCATTGCCTCATTAGAGAGCTGTTTGCCGCATATTATGCAGCACGAGGAATAACCTGTCGCAATAAAGTCATACGTCAAGTTGGAATCCTGGAATTGTCTGTTAAACAAAGCTTTCTTTTTCTTTGTAGGACTAGGCTCTTCCATCTCCTCAATAGCTCTCTTACCCTGCACTTCCCAAAGATGTTAGTTTTTTGTTCATTTTGTTAGCTTGGGGTTTTCAATTTAGCGGTAACGTAATATGTATTTACAGCCTTTTTAAGAAGGTAGCGGATGTGCTTGACATGCATCAAAGTGTGAGTCACAGACAGATCAGAGAATCTGGTAATTTTCAAAATAAAACTTCGTTCAGAAGCAGATAATAAATAAAATGGAAATAAGGTAAATTGCATTCTTTCTATGCGACCTGGAACCAATTGACCCACGGACTGGTGCCGGTCCACAGCCTGGGGGTTGGAGACCACTGCTTTAAATAACCAAAATCACCTGCAAGGCCTATTTATAGTACATATGCAGACCTGCCAACCTTGGTACCACTTGTGTCTTTCGGGTTTGATGCACTTGAATGCACTTTGTGTTTTTATGAGAGAACATATTTAATTTACAATCTTTCAGCAGGCCAGAAGGCCTGTACATTATCATTTAATGTACACGTTACTGGCAAGTGGGGTCAAGTCTAACATTTTATTTGGGATTTTATTTTATATTGTATTGTGCATTGCTGGAATGTGCTAAAAACATATTTATATAATTTTGTATTTGTTTTATTCATTGACACGTTAATATTAATATCTGCAATTGCAGTCCCTTGATTTTATTGAGGTTTACACAGTCATAGCCATAAATGCAATGGTACTAATAATGGGCATTATAATTTGCTTGTGGTCCTCCTCGCTTATTTCTGCTCATAATTGCAGCTTAGGCATACGTTATATCGAGCTTACCTTCTCCGAGAGGCTCCAATACAGTCCCGTAAGTTACAAAGTCCTCATCTTTTTCGTTGTCGGACGCCATTTCTTCTCTGGCAAACGAATGATTTCTCAGGTCATATAAGACTGAAAATGTTAGCAGAAGTAGCAAAGGAACTAGCCCACATCAGGGACAATAACAACTGTTAGCGATCTGTAAAGTGACGATTTCCGGCTATGTTTTGCGCATGCGAATACGACCGTAATGCACTACTGTGTAACTCGAATCTAAGTCTGTTCAGGTGGAGTTGCCGTTTTTCGTTGTTTAAGATGGCGTCTATCTTCGCATGCGCAAACGGCAGTGACGTGGTTCGGGCCAACCCGGAAATCGCCGTTTCGCTTGCTCCAGCCTCTTTCTGTTTAATCATAAACATTTGTGTATGGACTTAGCGAACAATGTTGTTATAAAATTATTCTTTTGAATTGTTGATTTAGACAAAAATATTCTACAAACATTTTATTCAAAATGTAAAAAGCGATAATTTTCCTTTCGATGCTTTGTTTAAATAATTTCACTTTAGTAATACAGTTCATACGAATTCTTATTAGTGACGCACATCTTTTGAATAAGTGTAAAACATGGCAGGAAAAATTTAGATATTTGGGAACGCAAAAAAGCGAAAATATTGGAACATATTTAATTATTATTTTATAATAAATTGTGTAATTGTATTTTAGTATATGTTATTGTGTATACCTTCCAGTGGCCTCAGCACCCGCAGGAAGGTTTAGGTGGGTTGGTACGGTGCAGTGTGATTTGGGTAGCTGTCATGGAAACTGCTGTCCCCGCAACCCGGAAACGCATAAGCGGATGAAAATGGATGGATGGATCGATGCATGTGTATGTATCTGTACTCCGCACCTTTTGGTGGCGCAATTCTGCGGTAGGGCAACCGACATAAAAGCATTACAAGGAAGAGGTAGAAAAAAAACGAAACCTGTTGTTTATGGATTGTTAACACTAACGCGAATAAAATTATGAGCTTTCTTGATTTTAACTCGATGTTACTTGACATATCAAACAAGTTGTCTTCTAAGGAACTGGAGGAAATGAAATTTCTATGTCGAGAGATAATCGGGAAGAAAAACATGGAACAAATCAACAGCGCACTGAACTTGTTCCAGTTTCTCTCTGAGAGAGGGAAACTGGCGGCAGACAGAACCGAATTCTTGTCCAAGCTGTTAAAAGATATTCAGCGACCGGGTCTCTCAGAAATAGTCGAGAATTTTCAAGGAAAACCGGACGATCAGTTGGAGCCAACGGAAAGAGGTAACGAAGCCGAGAAGCGAGCGGCTTTGGATTTTTTTAATTGTATCCTAGTCACTCTGCATTATTTGTCTGCATTAAGGTTTTGCGTATACTTTTTTGTGGTGCGCTCTATCAACTGCACGATTTGCATGTCAACTGCATAAACTACACAGCTTTGATTGTTTGTTTGTTTTTTGAGAAACAGTCGCTACATGTAAATATACTTTGTTTTTCAAGGGATTCTACCCTTTTCCTTTCCTTGTTTAATCAGAACAGTTGGCTGATTCTTTACAACGACTCAAAACCATAGACAATTTCCACTTGCAAATTAAAAATGATATGAGTCACTTGTCGCGCTGCCTTGTTTTAATGGGGAATGGGAAACCAAAAAAGTATAGTTGAGTAAACACACTGGTCCCGTGACCTGATCACTATCTGACTGTAATGATAGCCAGTCGACTCCCATTTCTCTTAAACATCTGTAACAGTCCTACACAAAATAAATACTTGTTAAAGTACTTTTGGCAAGTACCATTAAACCTATAATCCAAGATGGTTCCTCCAACTTGAGTCAGTGTTATAGGATTGTAAAATATATCCATAATACGATGAGGCTTTTTTTTTAGAGTTGAATCAAAGAAATGTTATAAATGTGGTGAAAATATTTATTTTATAAATAATATAATATATAATATATATAATATATATTTATAATTTTATTATAAATAATAAAATCTATAAATAGATTATGGAAGGGCTCTGCTTAGAATACTGTGGCATTCAACCATGATTGTAAAGGAACACACTGTAATACTGATATTAAAATCATGTTGTTTATTTTTCTTAAAATGTAAATAAATAAAAAATAGAAATGAATACAAATAAAAGTAGTGGCGCTTTGGCCCAGAGGCAATGTCTCTGTCATTGGTGTGGAACCCCAGGGTTCACCTCCTGGGCAAGTTCGAATCCCGGTTATGGTGGTTGGTACCTTCCAGTGGACTCACCACCCTCAGGAAGGTTTGTTACGGTGCAATGTGATTTGGGTGGCGACTGCTGCCCCCGTGACCCGGTAACGGATAAGTGGATGAAAATGGATGAATGGATGGACAAATAAAAGTATAGCAAAAGAAACATGTTTAGAGTTTCTTGTATAAAGAGAGAGGGGAATATCAGAGCCACCAGTCAATGAGGTCCTTTTAGTTGTTTAGGTTCGATATTTCATGAATCAAACCACTGGATTAAAAAAATAATAATTCTACAAATATGAAGGAAAACACTGTGCAAATGTTTTAAGCTAAACATTTTTAAAAGGGGGATTTTATTTACATTGGTATTTTACTCACATATTGTAAGTGGTATCTCATTGACAAAAGCACAAGTGCAAAGTAGACCATGAATTTAAAAAAAAAACAACCTCAAAATAAAAATAATTCCACTGTCACTAGAAAACGTACATAGCAACACGGTATGAAAGACTTGCCACAAGTTTGTTTAGTAGAAACTCCAAATTGCACTTCTGTTTTACTCTCCTCATCTTGGCATGTGTAATATCTCCATGCAGCTGACTAAGATAATATTGCAAAGGTGAACAAAGACATATGCCATAGAAGCTGTTTAGAGCAGTTTTTTAACCCATTTGACTTCGGAGCCAAATTTTGACAGTACAAAAAGACCCAGAGTCCATTTATATATAATCATTGTATTGGTTTAACTCAGGGATAAAGACGTGTAAATAAACATTTTCTTTGTAAAATTTAAAATTGAAAGCTCAAAATAATAAATTCAGGGCATGTACAGATGCAGCCACCTAGAATCTACCCACGAATCATGACTAAAGTTTGGCTGGAGATTGTCTTATGGGTGTGGTTAATGGAATTCCCCAGATGGCATAATCAATGACGATCTGAAGGCAAACACCCCTAGGCAGCTTGTGTTATTGTAATTATTTTCCTCCTCTCACAAGTATAACCTAAACTTTTTTTTTATTTTGAGATTTGTTTCATTTAAAGCAATTCCAAATAACATCGCATGGTAGTGTGCAAAATGACAATGGAGGTGGAAAAAAGGGAAGAGAGTGAAGACAGAGCAGAAGATCAAGTGGTGGAAATTAAGGAAAGAGAAATATTGTGAAGACTTCAGGAAGGAAGTAGGGGCAGTTCTGGGCTGTTCTCAGATGATTAGGGAGACAGGTAGGGAGGTGCTAGGTATGTCCTCTGGCCAGAGAAAGGAGGACAGAGAGACCTGGTGGTGGAATGATGAGGTCCAGGAGAGTGTGCAGAGAAAGAGATTAGCGAAGAAGAGATGGGACAGTGACAGAACAGAAGAGAACAGACTGGAGTACAAAGAGAGGACAAGGGAGGTGAAGAGGGAAGTGGCCAAGGCCAAACAAAAGGCATATGAGGAGTTGTACGAGAGTTTGGAAACAAAGGAAGGAGAAAAGGAGTTGGAGAAAAGGAGGACAGAAAAATCAAGCTGGGAAGGATGTGCAGCAGGTGAGGTTGATTAAGGACAGAGATGGGAATGTGATCACAAGTGAGGAAAGTGTGCTGAGAAGATGGAAGGAATACCTTGAGGAGTTGTTGAATGAGGAAAATGGAAGGGAAAGTAGAAACGAGGAACCAGAGACTATAAGAAGGAAGAGTGGAAAGTCAATTGGTCCCAATGACATACAAGTGGAAGTATGGAAGTGTTTAGTGTTTTAAATTTTAGAGACAAACAAGATGCCTGATGAGTGGAGGAAAAGTGTTCTTGTGCCCGTTCATAAGAAGGGTGATGTACAGAGTTGTAACAACTACAGAGGGATAAAGTTGATGAGCCATACAATGAAGATTTGGGAAAGA